GGACTTCGGTTTTTCCACTCAAACGGCACCGGAGCGATGGGGCAGGGGGGGAGGAGTGTGTCATGCGATCCACAAGCAAAAGGGGGGAAGTGTCCTCGATAGGATTTTATTTTTGCAGAGCGTTGATTTGCAGCCTGTTTCCTTCCTCTGGGAGAGGAGTCAGCAGCCTCCATAAATGCAGGGAGCAACTGCCACCTCCTGCTTTTCTGACTCAGTTACAGAGGCAAGGGCTCGGTTTCTTGCAGAACAGTAGATGTGAGAGACCTGGGGGCACATGAGAATATCAGAAAGCATAGGGAAGCAACAGTGATCAGGATCTGCTCCTTAACTAGGGTTGAGAATGTGATGATCTACTAAGCCCACCCTCTTCTAATTTGCAGAGCCCTCCCTTCCTTAGCACTGCCCCCCAAATGCTGGACGCTTGCTGCTGAGAGGAAGAGGACATCTCACCAGCAGAACCCTACAAAGGTACCCGGCAGCAGCTAAAGATAAAAGGTTTGTGACGGGCACAGAGCAACTGTGAGCTGTGGTGAGCAGAGTCCAGAGCAGGGTGATGAGCACGCTGTTCGTGTTGGGAAACAGTGAATTCTCTCCCCCTCAGCTAGGCATACAAAAGTGCTTCTTCTTCCCTACCAAACTTTGCTAGGGAGGGATACCTGTGTTAAAACAGAGAAACATGGCAGTAAGCAAAAGAGAACTTACTCCTTATTAAGGCTTTCAACTATTCTTTTTTTTTTCCAATGAACCTTTTGCACTGGTGCACCTTTCCTCAGGCTCCTGAGGGCTCAAGAGGCCCAGCTCAATATTGCCCCTAGAAGAGATATGCAGGCCACTACATACACCACGGTGTTTATTTAAACTGCAGACCAGTGGGATAAGCACAAAGCTGCATACACGGGATATCTCCCCACACTCTAAGCTTGTTCCTTCAGCTTCTTGAGCAGCTCCCTCAGCTGCTCGATCTGGGTGGGGCGGTGCCTCCTGGGGCTGTGTACTGCTCCACACTGCTGACGATGCTGAAGACCTGGGACACGTCGCTGGCAAACAGAGGGCTGAAAAGGCAAAGAAGAGAGGAGTGAGTAGAGAGTGATGGGTGCTCTTTGCTGCCAGATACTATGGCAAAGAGCACTGAGACAGACCTGATGCTCTTCAGGTCTTCCAGAGTGAGATTGTTGATGGTGATGCCCTTAGTCTCAGCAAGGTGGACGGCTTTTCCAACAGCAGTGTGGGCTTGTCTGAATGGCATCTGCAGGAAGAAGGGGAGACAACAGTCAGTGAGCAGGTAGCTGCAGTGCAGACTCCGAGATGGACACGTGCTCTCTTTTTTGGGTTGGTTAATTGCTTTTGGGTTAGGGCAATGCAGTCTGTCTGACTCTGGGTTTTCTGGGGTGTGAAAGAGAAAAGCACTAGGAGGTAGAACTCTGTAAATTACTCTTTGCTACAGTAAAAATATTACAGTGTTGTGGGTCAAAAGAAATGAAGTTCAGAGACTCCCTGTGATACTTACTCCTTTACGAACCAAGTAGAGAGCCAGGTCACTGGACAGAATTTCAGGGGTCAAAGCTTTCTCCATATTCTCCTTGTTGATCTGCAGAGAGGAGGATCATAGGGAGACGTCACTGTCAGCTCCTGCCTGGGAGACGCTGCCATCGCAGCGAGGGCTTTTCATCTGGAAGGGAGTGGGCTCTGCAAGGCCCCATGTGACCCCAGAGCAGAGCAATCTGAGCAGGGGCTGATGAAGGGACTGCAGTAACCCCCTGGATGAGTGCAGGATCAGGCTAGAGCTCCCTTCCCAGTGTCAGTCCATCAGCAATGGCATCCTTGTGGATAAAAGCAGGGACAGAGTCCATGAAGTACCGAGAGGCCAAAGCCTTACTTGGAGGGTGGAAATGACTCCAGTGGCGACTTGCAGCACAGCGGTCACGGTATCCACCACATCAAAGACAGCCTCCTTGTCCTCCTGTGTGATAACATGGATGGAGAGGAGTTGCAGTAAGTCAACCTGGAGCAGCCGGGAAGCCCGGCAGCCTGAGCAGCAAGGCCAGCAGAGCAGGTGCTGACACCAGAGGGGCTCCCCTGTGCTGCAGACTGAGCTGGAATGTGCAGGGCCTCATCCCCTTATTTGGGTCCTGCACGGGGAAAGCTAGTGGCAAGAACTGCTTGCAGCTCAGGAGACAGTTGTGTCTTTTCAGAAAAATAGATTGAGAGCAAATATTTGTTTTACCTGCAGATCCTTGTTGTAGGTGCTCGGAAGTCCTTTGAGAACCATGATAATAGAGACAAGCTGCAGGGAAGAACAGGAAAGGCACTTGGCTCTAGGAAGGGGTTTGTGTTTCCCCAGCAGTGATCCAGAGCTGACTGGCACATTTCTTCACTGAGTGCCTTGAAGAAGATCTCCCCAGAGCAGGAGATATTGCCCCTTTCAGAGCTCCATTAACCCATCTCTGAGTAGTTCCCCCATCCCACCTCTTTAGCAGACTCACTCGTCCAAGCACACGTCCAGCTTTGCCACGGATTAGTTCCAGACTATCAGGGTTTTTCTTCTGAGGCATCAGGCTGCTGCCGGTGCTGAAAATAACGGTTTGGATTTAATGGGGAAAATGGCAGCTCGATCCCTGGAAAATGCTATCTGCAGGGATAAAGTGCAGATAGGCCATGCGGTGTGCTGGCTCGGCTCATTAGGAGCAACATGTAGTTCAACTTGTACCAGACACCTGTCCATGATGTAGGACAGCACTAATTTCTTGTAGCTTCCTGTATTTCCCAGAGCTGAGCCTTCATTTTTGGAGTTTTTGTCGAGCTCTCATACAATCTTGCCCTTAAGTGTGTCCCAAAGAGGAAGAAAAAAAGGAAACTTCCACCCAATGCCCTCCAGAGCTGGTATCAACAGGCAAGACTAACAGCCTTTCTGAAGAGGACGCTGTGGCCTCAGGGAGGGAGGGCTGTGGTGGTGCCACCCGAAGGAACAGGAAGGGCGTTGGGATTGCAAAGCACGGCTCTTCTAGGAAGGGCTTTGGCAGGAATTCCCAGCAGAGGAGGAAGCTCTCTCTGCCTACTGCTCTACAGCCTGATCCTGCCAGCAGTTGCTAGGGAGGAGTGTCCCCTGAATACAGATTTCAGCAACTTACTGGAATTGGTAACAAAGAGTCATTGAAGAGGAGAGGGAACCTTCAGGAGACCTATTCATAAAGGCAGCCTTTAAAGGCCCCAGCGTTAATGCTATTGTCAGCCTTGTGCACCAGGCAGCCCCATCACTGCCACGAATCTCCTTCAGAAGGGGGTTACTGACAGGAAGAGACTGAGGGAAAAAAAAATTCTGCCTAGAAACTCAGAAACCTACGTGAAGGCATCGGAGAGGGTCACAAGGCCAAACTCGCTGGTACTGTAGATGATGAGATCTTCAGCCAGCCTGCTAAGGTGGGTCATCAGCAGAGTGGCAACAAAGAGGAATTCCACTGAAGAGAAGGAGGGGTATCAGGAGGGGATAAACACGTTTGTTTGCTGACAAGCTAGGGGAGAGTGGCAACAAAGAGGAATTCCACTGCAGAGAAGGAGGGATAAACACGTTTGCTGACAAGCTAGGGAGATTAAGTATAGGAACACTTACAGTGGACTATAAAAGATATGAAGTAATTTATGCCTCAGTGCAATCCAGAAAGGCTAGAAACATTGGAGCTGGAGACAGCAGGACTTTTGCTGAGGATTGATGGTTTGTGGCAAGCCCACAGTATATTGCTCGGGAAAAAGGAATTCTGCTGCTTCATATAGTGTTTCAGTCTTCTTTAGCATGAATGACTGAGCGACTCAACCTAGGTAAGCAGGCATTGCTGTTAGCTGGGCAGTTATGAGTGAGGTATGTTCCTAATCTAGGCAGCCTATAGATAGCAGCAAATGAAATGTATAGATACTTCCTAGTGAGGCCTTTCAGTCCCCTTGTTAAGTCAGGCTGACAGGGTAGCTCTTGGAAGGACCATTATAAAATGAAGGAGGGAATAAATAATCGAGTTGTGCTCACCTACAAAGTCCCTGTCACTGATGGCATCCATGCTGTTCAAGGTGATGGCAGCAAAATCCAGCTCTGCAAGGAAAGAGATGGACAGAGGGGTTCAGCCTTGGCAGCGCTGGAGCTCGACCGCAGCAGCTTGGTCCAGCGGGCAGGTAAGTCCTGCAGTATCCCAAGGGACACAGACACTTCCCAAGTGTTTTACTGAGCTGGGGCCTTCATTATTTGCCCCAGGCTGCAGGGGTGCAGCAGAGGTGGTTGTGTCTGTGCTCCCAGCTTGCAAGCGTTAGGAGAGGAGAATGTGTCCCTGCTTCCCTCCCTCTGAGATACAAGGGCTGGACCTTCAGTTGTCACGAGACACCTACCGCTGCGCAGCAGCTCTCTGTCGATGTCCAGTGGGTTTCCAGCCAGGGCACCGCTGCCGAGGAAGAAAGGAACAGAAGTCACGCGTGACATCCTGAGCAGCCTCTCTGCAGTGCAGATGTCAGGCAGAATGTAGACCTTACCTTCCCAAAGGCAGGATATTGACCCTCTTCTTGATCTCTCCCAGGCGCTCAGAGTCCCGGGTCAGCGCAACAGCATGGCTAGGAAAGGACATGAGACATGAAAGATCTGAAGAAACCTCCCTCCCCAAGCACCTGGCTGTGGGGTCAGAATGAAGATGTATTGACCATGGGCAGCTGCAGCAGCAGCTTACAAGGCTGGAGAAGGCGCCACAGCGCAGGACGAGACAGTTACCTGAGCAAGAACTGGCTCCATCTGATGGGCTGAGCTTTTTGCAGGTGGGTGTAGCCAGGGAGGATAACATCGATTTCTCTGCAGGTGAAAGGAGACAAAGATCTTGTAGTTGCCTGTATGTGTGTGCCAGGCAAAGAGCAAGGGCTGCAAGTCTCATACTCCAAGAAGGACTGAGGTTACGGTGTTGGGGAGGGACTCACATGGCAGCACGTTCCACCAGGGTCTTAATGAGCTGCAGCAGGTGAGTGGACACCACAGAGATGGATTTCTTCATGAACAGCTTCAAGTCAGTGACAACCTGGAGGAGATCGGCCAGGATCAACAATAGTAAGATGGGACATACCTTGTGACCAGGTTCCGCAGAGGGTCTGATGGGGTTGAGGGTCATCTCCCTTCATATCAACTGTCTTTGGTCACTATGACGAGTGAATGTCACTATGTCTTGCTCTCCAGAAAGAGACCCAAAGCCCATTCTGATTAGGGGTCTCTTGAAACTGAAGAAGGGGAGGTGTAGTAAAGGCAAACTCAATCATCTCTATACCTACTTGATCGTTTCTGCTTCTTCCAGTGTGCAGCTTTCCAGCAACATCTCCAATCAGCTCCTGTAGACCAGAGGGGCATTGCTATCAGTGCATCTGAAGCATAAGCATGAGGCTCCCCAGGAGAGCAGACCCACCCTGCCTGGAAGGACCAAGCTCTAGGATCTTGTAAGTAGCCATCCTGTAAGTAGCGGCAGGACAAGTGTGGGTTCTATGCTTGTAGAACATCTCTTCCACAACAGGAGTCTTGGAGACACTTATTTT